ACCCTAAACCCTAAACCCTACCGATGCCAGGGGCTTTCGGACAGTTTAGGGCACCGAACCATAGTGGCCCTCTGCTTTGGGATTTGGGCTTCAGGGCGGTGCAGGCGAAGGCAGGGAGCTCTACGGTTTTTTTTTTACGGGGAAATGGGGATTCAAGGGGCATAGGGCTTTAGGGTATTTAGAAATGGGCGAAAAGATCCAGCTCTCAGGAACAAGACTGTCAACTGTCTGGATCCCTGGTCTTGCTTGTGGAATATTGTACATTTTATCTGCGGAGAAGAGAACCACAAGGCAGCTGGGATACCTCCAGCGATGCTCATAAAAAGACTGAGCATGCTGTCGATAAGGCTTCCGAAGTAGAGCATCCCGTCGTTGCCAACGATGTCGGGCAGGACCTTTGACGGAAGCAGGCAAAAAAAAAAACACTGAAAACCAACAACTCCACAGCCCACTAAACACAGGCCTCGCCGGCTGCGCTCTGATCCACCCGGTAGTCGCTGATAGCCTGGGTGAAGATGACAGCGAACACATACCTCAGTGAGAAGTGTAGATCATGACCTCGCCGATCTAAACCAGAAACTATTCCGCAAGGACAGCAGCTCTGTCCGCAAATGCTCGTTTAAGAGTCCGGGTGTACGCCACATGGGCCAGGGCTACAAAGGTTACAACAGCCATTGCCATGCCTCTTGCACTTTACATGCTGGCCAAGGAGCACGATCAGAAGCAGTAGAAGCAAGGCCCAGACCAAGGCTTTCAGCGTGTGAAAGATGGACTGGACCAGAGTTCGCAGAGCCATGACGAAGCGGAAGATCCGCAAGAGCTGAGCGATCTTCAAAACCCTGGTCACACGAACAACTCGGAAAGCCTTTAGAGTGGAAAGCCCCGAGACACTCTCGAAGCCGTTCTCGTCCAGAAGGGCCGTGAGAATGTCCACCAGGACATCCCATACCGACGTCGCGACAATGAAGCAATCCAACAACCTCACTGGTGACTGGCATGCAACAAGCGGCCATAGTCTAGTCCCGAAGCCTGCCCGGCCTGGGACGGGCTTGGAGAATCGAGGGTTTAAGGCACAAACAAGGTGGCAAACATCTGAGGATAATCTTGCCGAGAGCACACCCACATCCAATCGTCCGAGCAGAAGAGTCGCAAGCCGTGAGCAGAGAGCCGCAACACAAGCTCAGCTATGTAAAGCAGTGTGTAGATGTACCCGACAACCATGTAGCCCGCTGGCCTCTGCACATTGGGCTCTGACAGCTCCAGGCTTCTGCCATGACTGACCGGTTTGTATCGCGTTATTACAAGCAGCCCCCATTTGCATTTGTGTCCAGCGGCCTCCCACCACCCACCGCAACCACTATATATTGAATGATGCAGCCCTCAGGAGCCCTGAAGTCCCAACCTTACACAGACCCAACAAGGCCTGTCGCCGGTTGCGGCCTCGGTCGTTCGCTGGACATCGATGCCTATGAAGATGGCGTTGGTGATCACGACGGCTGCAAAGAATAAATCGAAACCTCGGTTTCGGCTAAGGGCTTAAGATTCAGGTTTAAGGGGTAGTTCCCTCCTAACGCCTCGGGTTTGCTCGCATCGAGCTGTGCTTGGGCGTGCCGGCAACCAGCAAGAAGGTGTTGAAGCTTGAATGAACTGTAGCTGCCAAAATGGTATAGAAACACCAGCCCGTTATTGGCTCGAAGTAACAGTAAGTTAATTCCAGTATCTCGTTTCAACTCGGTATTCGTGTTAGCCGAGCTGTCACGACATGCCTTCGACACCAATGTAATGGAGTATGTCGACACAGCTCAAAACATGCAAAGCAGCAAAACCTGCACCTGCCACGAGCAAGACGGCTTGATCCCTAGATCCCTAAGCCCGGCCACCTTAAAAGGATGAGGACAACCGTGCGCAACAACACGAGAACAATAAAACCAATATAAATAGCAATGATTAACAATTATAATAACAATAACAATAGTTAAAGCAATACTGAGGATTGTAGTAACAAGACTGAACGCTTCACAGAATCGCAGAGATTCAAGACCAGGTCTACACCTGCAGCGGCAACTACGACTCTTCCTGGCCAGTTACGCGAGATTGCCTGAACGGGAGAAGCAAAGAAAGGCACCACCAAAGACAGGAGACAATGAGGCGACAGCTACCTGAAAAACCACCGATGCCCAATGACTGGTCGACCACTCCAGCCAACGACCTCTAAAACTGAATAGCCTCCTGCCGGTGTCACCATCAGCTAAGCGGGTGCATGGCCAGAGGTCCATGACAAAAGAGGTTGTAAAGCTGAAATGTATCAACGGCAAGCGACCAGGATGCTTCACCAACTTTCCGATGTGGCCGCCTGCCCTCATCTTCTCGACATGGGCATGCTGACCTTCCATCACTCAGTTGCCCAAGACATCGGTCTTCGTTGCTGGTAGCATCATTGTGCATTATGGGCATATGTTGGTCGAAGCTCACATCAAACTGGTAGTATAGTAGTGACAACCTGCGTTTAAGTACATCAGCCGTCGATCATGTCACAAAACGACTATCCCATGATGGCGACGATGCTTGCCAAGATGCTGCGTTAAGGGCTGAATTGAAAGCACGTAGTAAGCCAAGCATGTACGGCTGAAGGTCAAGACCTGTGTTCATTCAGCCCAGCAGCGAGAGTGAGACGTGAACATGCGCCGGAGAAAGTGCGTGTCCGCCAGTTCCTTAGCGGGTTGTTGAGGCCCGAAAATAAGCCAACCGCTTAGTTGCCTTCCTGCCTGCTAGTGGCCTGCCTGCGTGCCCTTTTGCCTGCCTACCTACCGAATTACTTACCCACTGATGGAAGGTTTCCAATAAAGTAATTATGTAGCTGCCCGGCTGACGAAATACTAGACGAACCGGCTAGCTCATTGAATGACTTGGACTGACGGACCGGCTGTCGAAAGATATCAACCAAGCATCTGACTCAAGAACTACAGCAGACCAGCAAGACAACAAAGTGCAAACACAAGCACCACCAACCACAGAAGTAGCAACACAGCAACAACGGTAGCATCAAAACAACGGCATGACAAAGGTGCATCAAAGCGCACGAGGAACGCAATGTCACGCTCATGCTGCCTGCAGACATCCCAGATGCTTTGCAATGTCTGCGGGTATGTCGCCGGCACGAGCATGTGTATAGCTAATGCATCCACAGATGCACTGAAATTGGAACAGGCAGCTTCCGCAAGGCTAGCGTTCATGATTCATAACAATCCGACCCCCTTTGGCACACATTATTAACCCCATAAACTCAAAACCCATCACGGGCTCGGCTTCCTGCTTCTTCTCCAGATCCTCGCGCTTTTGAGGCAGACACACAAACACAGGGGCATGCATAAGTAGACTGGGGATATGCTACAGCGTAAAGTGTGTGCGCACGTGTGTATGTGTGTGTGTGCGTATGTGTATAAATATAAATATAAATATAAATAAATATATATATATATACATGTATGTGTATATATACACACCTATGCAACCTCTTCTTTATGAGTATATATATATATATGTGTGTGTGTGGGTGGGTATAATATTTGTACAAACATAGAGATGTACGGCTCAGCGGAACTAAAAGGGAGTAGCAACTATTCATTATTCAGGCCTCTATAAGCCCGGATCCCCGGCAGTGAAGTAGAGGTTGTCAGGGAAGTTCAGCGGACTTGTGCGGTGACCTCGTTCTCAGACTTGTGTTGCAAATCGTGTTGCTATGTCTACAGATGTTTGAACTCCTACTAGGACGACTGTAACTTTCGACGATATTACCGCTGCAGAGATTCAGATACTACGCGAGCTCAGTGTATAAAGTCTCGGTCCCTGCAGACGGAACGAAAGCAGACCGCCGAGGATCGGTGTTGCAACTGCTCCCGAACCATAAACTCCCTAAACTCTAAACCGAAATTTTTTTTAAATTACAGCCACTGGCGGCTTACTCGCATTGCTCGTAGCAGCCCCAGACAGCAGTCATACACCTGCCTTCCCGCTCTATAGTGAGTATGTCCGGCGGCAGTTCGAAGGGCTGGCACAGCTGTCGCAATACTTCCCCCCAGAATCATGGCGTCCTCTGTCGAGTACGACTGCAGGCGCATTCTCGAGGATTTTGCGGATTTGTTGTTCGCTTCGTCCGGACCATCCTGACTCTCATGGGGCACAACGAAGGCTCAACCTAATTTGCGCTACAGAGATTCTGAAGTCTGGTGAGTCTGGTGAGCGGAACCCAGAAAAGCCGTACGTTTGCAGTCTGGCCAGGCCCTTATGTCAGGCCGCATGAGGCTACCACTCCAACACAGACGGAATATGAAGTTTCCAATTTGAATATACAAGAGGATTCCGAACTCCTTCTTCGTGGGCTTCTGACTGGAGCACATCCGAGATATTGCATCTTTTCTCTCGACGTCCCCAACTCGCGAACAACTTAATCAAAACTCTTAGTCATAACCCTGACGCCTTACATACCCCTGGTGCTCACGGCCTCCTCCCGCAACGAAGGCGATGGGGAAAATGCGGAGTCCTCAATGCCTTGCGATGGAGCGGTGTGCGGCTTGGCATACACAATAGCTGTAAGGTACTATACGGTAAACCAGCACTATGTTCAAATTTTGATTTTGGTCAGATGTGGATGCCAAACAAGTAACAAAACAGCCTGTAACATAGCAGCCTCCTGCTCATCAACGATGTCTTCACGCCCGCACTTGTGATTACGTAGCTGTAGTTGCTGCGGGTTCAAGTCGTCCTTCTCAAAATCAGCCGCTACCTGTGCTTCTTTCCTCTCTTCTTCTTGCATGCGCTACTGCTACTACTTTACTACTACTA